GTTATGAACGCATATACCTATGCATGGTATGACATTTATATGCATATGTATGACATTATAAAACTGAAATGATTCACAGAGCTATGCAAGCGTAAATGTCGAGTCTTTTACTCCATGTTTCTCTCATGTTTATTATTTACTGATTTTTATTCCTTACATACTCAGTACATTATTTGTACTGACGTCTCTTTTGCCTGGGGGCGCTGCGTTTCATGCCCGCAGGTCCCTATAGACAGGTCGAGAGCCCTCCAAGTAGGCTATCAGCTCAGTGGAAGATGTTGGAGCGCTCCATTTGCTTCGAAGTTGCTTGTTTGGTTAGTATGATTTAGATGGATATTGTTTGGTATGGCGGGATTCTATCCCGACCTTTATAAAAATTATGTATCCTTAGAGGCTTGTAGACATATGTCATGTATGTAAAAGATTGTATGGCCTTGTCGGCCTATGTTCAGTGTATGAGTGGTTATTTTGGTCTTATAGGCCCATATGTCTTATGTATAAGTTGGTATTACATGTTGTATTCTACTTATCTCATGGCAATTTTTCGACTCAGTTATCTATGATAGTATGACATGAAAAGATACATTATATTGGTATTCGGTTGAGTAAGGTACCGGGTGCTCGTCGCGGCCCATCGGTTTGGGTCGTGACAGTATCGATCATTAGATGCTCTGCGATTGTAGAATTCAATTGACTATAATTTGAATCATCGCTGACTACAATTCTGTCAACATTAAAATCTCTGTATCTCCCAAAACTATCCCAATTACCATTTAGCTGAAGCATAATAGCTATTTTTGACTTTACATCGCGGAATTCAATACAATTGTAGATAATTGTTTGCAATTTGTTTTTCAAAACCTTCGCTTATGATTGTGAAACCAGAGGAGACAGAGAAAATCAGAGTATCGGCGATGATAAACTGAGAAAATCGGCGTAATAGCATGCTTAAATCAATTGCGATGATTGCGTCACAAAATTCTCGGAAGAATCCTACGCCATCCCAAAATCCCGCGTCTAAAAAAGGAAGGCTACTGTAGAAAGGATTCTAGTTTAAATAAATGTATATAATTTGTAGACAAAACGTATTTAGGCCGGGTAATTAAGTAAACATGGATATTTTTGGTAATAAAATTTCATATAATGTATAGGAACGAAAAAATCCCTATAATATATATGTATAATCATCAGATACTTTATGGGCCAAGTAATTGGGTTTATACTTTGCGGGCCGATATGGCAGGACTTGGATCAAAGTGGAACACTTGGGTCGGGTCATTACGAATCGGAGGCTGACGTGTATATATGACTCCGCTAAAATATCCGAATAGATATCTTATCGTCAAGCTCTGCCAACTGAAGCCATTTTTCCCACTACTATGAAGCTAACCGGAAGAAGAAGAAACTAAATTGATTAAAAATGGCCTTGTCGACGGCGAAATTCACAGAATTGCCACCACATTTGTTCTCCTCGTTTTCTACTCCTTCTACTCGACCTGCATTCTCTCTTTTCCTTAAACCCTTCTCATCTCTTCGCCGCACCGGCGGCAACACCAGAACCAACAACAGGGATCAACGGAAACCCTACCGAGATTCAAATTCCAATTCTACCCCTGTGAAGTCCAAGCCAAACAAATCTCACTCGTCTACTTGGCTAAACAAATGGCCCAACACATCTCCTCCAGTAGAACATTCGTCGTCCAATTCTAGAACTTTCGATTCCAACACGGAAACTAAGTACTTCGACGAGAACAATAGTAGAGTAGGGACCACCGCCATAGAGAGGATTGTACTCCGTTTGAGAAACTTAGGATTAGGCTCTGACGATGAAAATGAAGAAGAGGAAAATTCGAATTTGAATTCTAGTTCGGCAGTGCCGAGTATCGGCGAAGAAGAAAAATTAGGGGATTTATTGAAGAGAGATTGGGTTCGACCGGATATGATACTAGCAGAGAGTGATGATGATGAGGGAGATGATACATTGTTGCCGTGGGAACGGAGTGTGGAGGATGGAGAGGTGGTGGTGGAGGAGCAGAGGGGAGGGAAGAGGAGGACAATGAAGGCACCAACATTGGCTGAGCTAACAATTGAGGATGAGGAATTGAGGAGGCTGAGGAGAAATGGTATGACTTTGAGAGAAAGGGTTAGTGTACCTAAGGCTGGGATTACAGGAGCTGTGTTGGAGAAGATTCACGATGCTTGGAGGAAGAATGAGCTGGTTAGGCTCAAGTTTCATGAGGTTTTGGCTCATGATATGAGGACTGGCCACGAGATTGTTGAGGTTGGTGCACTTGGCTTTACCCGTATAGCTTTATGTTGTCCCATTTTATGAAGCATACCTTCCCTTTTTTAGGTTGTTTAGAAAAGAATGAAACCTTTTAATATTTAGAAATAATTTAATTTTAAACTTCTCATTTTAAATTTAATAAAGTGATTTATAGCCACACAAATGTCTATGACATGTTTAACCACAAGTTTCAAAAGTCCGTGATTAGTCAAACACCGCCACATATATTGGGACGAAGGGAGTATTTGTTTCTATTTGCCTTGCTTTCTTTTGGCATGAATTTGTTTGACACTTTAGAATATTTCCAAAACTTGTGTCCTAAAGATTGCTTGTATATTTTGTTCTTCATATATTGTCCTTGTGCTGGCCAAGATTACATCCTATGGTATTAAACTAAAGTTCCAATTAGATTAGATAACACTTCTTAAACAATAATAGGAATCATCATTGTGATGAAGAAAGAGATTTATTCATATGTCTTGTTTCAGAAATGATATTGCTTTTTGACCGTAAATGGTCTCACTTAATTGAGAACAATGTTCATTATTTTTAAAAGGAATGAGTGCTATATAAGGATTCCTTATAGATGTAGAGTTACTTGAATTTGTTTTGAAATACAATTATTATCTTGTTAACAGTAAAAAATACGATTATTATCTTGTTAAAGATAAATAGTACAATTTTCGAGCAATTATCCATTAACTGTTGCAAGCAATTATGTCATTTAATTTATCTGAATATCGCATATGCTAGAAAAGGTGCAGTTTGCTTACTTCCTCTTTTTTCCGGTTGTCAGCGTCGAACAGGAGGGCTTGTGATATGGAGGGCTGGGAGCGTTATGGTGGTGTATCGAGGAAGTAACTATGAGGGGCCTTCTTCTAGATCTCGATCCGTGGATGAGGACGGCAATACTCTCTTTGTTCCCGATGTTTCCTCTGACAAATCTATTGCAAAAGACGGCAAAAGCTCTAATCCAGTTATTGAAAATCGTAATCAAGTTCATCCTCATCGTGTCCAAAACATGACTGAGGAGGAAGCAGAATTCAATAGGCTATTAGATGGTTTAGGCCCACGTTATGAAGATTGGTGGGGTACAGGAGTACTTCCTGTTGATGCCGATTTGCTCCCCCAGACAATTCCTGGCTACAAAACACCATTCCGGCTTCTTCCTACTGGAATGAGATCACGCCTAACAAATGCAGAAATGACTAATTTACGGAAAATTGCTAAATCACTTCCTTGTCATTTTGCTCTCGGTAAAATTTCAACCCTCTAAGTACAATTACAATTTTAGTTTTTAGTGTGACAACATGGGTTATCTTCCTGGTGTCCCTTTTAGGGAGAAATAGAAATCATCAAGGGCTGGCTGCTGCTATAATCAAGCTTTGGGAGAAGAGTTTAGTTGTTAAAATTGCAGTCAAACGTGGAATTCAGAATACAAACAACAAGCTGATGGCTGAGGAGTTAAAGGTGTGTTAGAATGTTTGATATGATTTTATCCCAGATAAAAGAAATAGAAAAGAATGTTTTGATATGTTAGTTGCTTCTGTTAGTTACTTCTTTGAGTCTTTGTGTGATGCCATATGAACTGGGAAGTACTATTTATCATCGTCAGAGGGGATTCCAATTTCATGACCGAGGACATGACCCTTGATAGGAAGGTATGGAGGTCAAGGGTTAGGGTAGTAGAGTAGGTAGTCTAGAGTGTTCATAACAGTAGTATTGGCACGCAATCTCGCTTTCTGTCGATAGTAGGTTTTAGGTTTTTATGACTAACCGTTGTTTTCTTTCAGTGTTGATCACCTTACTGTCTTCTTGTTTTTATTCTGCTTTTATATGGTTTTTTGGTACTGTTCCTTCTTGTCTATATTTTCATTAACGTGGTGCTTATGCTTTCCTGAGCCGAGGGTCTATTGGAAACAACCTCTCTATCCTCACAAGGCAGGGGTAAGGTCTGCGTACACACTACCCTCCCCATACCCCACGGTGTGGGATAATACTGGGTATGCTGTTGTTGTTGTTGTTGTAGGTGCTAAGGCTGTTAGTCATATCGCCCAAGTTTGTTGTTTACAAGTAAATACTTCTAGAGAAAATATTGGCCCCCACCTTATAAAAAAAAAGGAGAAAGTATTGGCTCCCAGCCTCCCACTTTGTGTTCTCCATATCCTTTTTCCTTCTACAGAGACCACTGATTTAGTTCTAGAAAAAAGAAGAAAAAATTGATCCTGTTCATGTGAACCAGAAAAGTCGTCTGGAAAAGATGTTACAGAACTTTTGAGTTTAGAAGACATCTTAGTTGTTCCTCCTGCCACTTCTAAAGTGCCATATTTATCCCATCATGGCTTGATACTTGACTGTACAGAATGTTTTCCCCACAAAGCTCACGCTCCGTATCCTGTCATATGTGATCTTGTAGCTCATCATAAGCTTCACACTACAAAGTGTTTCTGATATCAGTTATATAGTGTTATGGTAATAGGCTTATCCAAGAATCTTGGAACTTCTTAAAATTATACCTTCTCTGTAGTTGAATTTCATACGAGTATTCTTGCATGGACTTTCAGATATAAAGCTTCGTTTGTCCTTTTTTTACCGGAGACGTAGTGCTTCTATGAGAATTCTTGTACCGTATTGATGGGAAGTCTATGGTTTGTTGGTAAATAAGAGAAACTATGTAAAAAGCTTGCCTGCCATTTTTTTTTTTT